AGTGGTGGCGGCCGAACGTGGAGCAGGGCATGGGAGCTCGCAGTGGCCACACACGGAGCAACAACCTTGCAGGGTGGTAGGCGGTGGCAGTAGTTACCACATGCGAGTTTCCCCTCACCCCGCGTTCAGCTGGCTGGCTGGAAATTCTGGTTAGTAGAGTGTTCCAGATAGTAGAATGCCAGATAACGGATTTTACTGTACCTCTGTTCCTTAGATTTATATTGTACAACTGTGTTTTTGCAGATATATGAGATTCTTTCCGGATGGTCAAGTTATGATGCTAACAACTCCTGAAGATCCTCAATCAATTGTTCCTCGTTTACGGACTAAAAATACAAGGTGTGTTGAAATTTCAGATTTGACTTTCTATTTGCTTCAGTTTGCCCACTCAGCTGCCCACATATCTTGGTTTCTACGTATTTCTTAAGACCTGGTCAGCTAACCTTAGCCTCTGATCTTTGGCTTGGTAAAAAGCTTAATAGAAATATGATTAAGAATAGGAAACTGTTGTGCTTGAATATGTCCTTTTAAAGGATTATTATGCAAGCGTAATTCGGAAGAATCTTGACAGATTGAAGAATTGGACTAGTTAACAGGATGAAGTTCAGTGCAGACAAATGCAAGGTGCTACATCTTGGGAGGAATAATCAAAAACACAGAAAATTGGTGACACCTGCCTGGATGGCAGCACTATGGAAAAGGACTTGGGAGTCTTGGTATACCATAGACTCAAGATGGGTCTGCAGTGTGATGTAGCCACACAAAAGCAAATGAAATTTTTGGGGTGCATCAAGGGAAGCGATGTGTGTGAGACATGGTAGGTGATAGTGCCTCTGTACTCAGCACTGAGTACTGTATATAGTTCTGGGCTCCACATTTTTAAAAAGATGTGGAGAAATTAGGGTCCTGAGGTGGACAACAAAGATGATCAAGGGCTTGGAAGGCAAGTCATGTGAGGAGAGGCTAAAGGGGCTAGACATTTTCAGCTTTTGGAAAAGGAGTTAAAGTGGGGACATAGTAGCAGTGTTCAAATACTTGAAGGACTGCCATAAAGAATAGGGAAAGCACCTTTTCTGTCTTGCTGCAGAGAGGAGGATGCAGACTGATGGCTGGAAGTTGCAGCCAAGTAAGTTTAGACTGGAGATCCAGAAAGACTTCTTCATTGTTAGAATAGTGAGACAGTGGAATAGACTGCCTAGGGAAGTTGTGGACTCTCCATCACTGGAAGTGTTCAAGAAGAGGTTAGATAGCTACTGGTCAGGGATGATCTAGGTGTAACTATACCTGTGTCTTACTGTAGGTATTTTCCATGCTTCTGGGTTTTGCTGGTTGCCCCTGCCCCTCTCCCTCCCTCTTTTCAGCTACATGTGTCAAGGTGTTTTTCAGCCTTCCCAAAGGCTGGGGACTTTGACTGGGGTGTGCCAGTGCTCCTGTTGCAAGCAAAGGGTAGACGGTCTTCCCCTTCTCTTAGAATCAGACCAATTGCCATGTTTGAGGTCAGGAAAGCATTTTACCCCATGGTCAGATTGGTATGGACTATGGGGTTTTTTGCCTTCCTCTAGTGGGGGATGTGGTCTTCTACCTAGGATCTCTCAAGTATATATATCAATAACATTTCATAGAAGCAGGGCATTGGTTGCTGTGTGGTTCCCCTGATTTACCTATAGCAGGTTATGGTGTTAGGTCTGTGTTGTGTCAAGGTTGACAGTAGTCTTATGCAGATTTTTAAGATGGTTTGGATAGGGGTGATCCTGCCTCAGGCAGGGGTTGGACTAGATGACCTCTGGAGGTCTCTTCCAGCCCTACTTTTCTGTGATTTTTATGAATACCTACTTCCTGCTCTTTACCACTTAATGGCTGATCCTGAAGTCAGACATTTCATTGCAGGATCAAGGCTAGGAGAAAACCTGGAAAAACTTAGAGGCAGTAGATGCAAGAGCTCTGAATACTTGCACTGTTTCAGAATTCATTTAAAAGAAAGGCAAGAAGGAAGATGAAAGCTAGTACAGAAAGTCTGTCTGAATAACAGTACATTTTTCAGAGGGAGTTGAAGGAATCAAAGGAAATGGATTAATTTAACAGAATCAAGGGCCTGTTTACATGAATTTTTAAAAAATTAAAATTAGTAGTAGTCTAACATTATCTACTTGACATCCTCCCTTTAACTTTTCAGAACTGATGCAATCTTGTTTGGCCATTATCGCCTTTCCCAGGATACGGACAATCAAACCAAAGTATTTGCTGTAATAATGAAGAAGAAAGAAGAGGTGGGTACTAAAGATATCATGTGGTGATAGGAGAGGAGAGTAAGGAGAAGTTTGTTCTGTGTTTTTTAATGAAAGCTTCCATCTGTCTTTTAAGGCCACATGATTTGCAGTATACTGGAGATTGCCATACACTTTTATCAGTACTTATAATGTACTTGACTTCGGTGGTTTCTTTTACTACCCTAGATTGGTTAGTAAGTGGAACTAATGTCTACAAAAGTATTTTTGCTTACTGAAGCTAGAAAGCTCTCTGCATTAATATAGGTTAAGTGTTCTGTAAGATAGCTACTTAGCTTACACTTGAACAGCAGTACTCCTCCATAAGGACTGTACTGCTTACTTCATCTGAAGCTTAACTGTTGCATAAGGTGACATCTCTTAGCCCCAGAGATAATTTCCATAGTCTTGCTAAATTGCTAAAAAGGAAATGGATAGGCAAAGGTGGGAGAAATGCTTTTCTGCGGTCACCTTTCATCTTTTGAGACTTTTATTTCTGAAGCATTAAATACATATATTTAATAAATGCTATTCATGAATTTAATGGAGGATAATTTTATAATGGTTAGCAACAAAAGTATTCACTTGGTAAAAAGCAAACAAACATGTTAAGTAGTTTGAAAATAGTTACAAGGTTAGGTACTGTATGCCAGCTAACACAGTTGTTTTTCCTCTCAAATCTGATAGTGCTGAGTCCTCTACATTTTCCTTTATTTCCATGGAAGCCTCATTCAGATGTAACTTGATGCAATGTAAACATTATCATTATCATCATCATTATTATTATTTCAAACAATTACTGCTTGTTCCTAGACTTTGTTAGGTATGAACCACCATAGTTCATGATCTGTACTCACATCATTTAAAACATTAAAGCACAGAAGTGTTTTATGTTCTTTGTTACTAAACTTTCAATTTGTTGTACAGAAACCAATTGACTACCACAAATACAGGTACTTCCGTTGTGTTCCTGTGCAAGAAACAGATCACAGTTTTCATGTAGGATTGCAGCTGTGTTCCAGTGGCCGCCAGAGATTCAACAAACTTGTTTGGATACATCACTCTTGTCACATAACTTACAGGTAAGTGAATAACCTGATAAAACAGGAAGTGCTTATGTGTTCAGTGCTAATACAAGAAACTGTAAAAAGAAGGGAGAAGGGAGTGCAGAAAGCAGAGGTCTAAATAAAAAAAAGTTTTTAGAATATAAATGGTGTAAGGAAGGGGGAAGAAAAAGGAGGTCCTGCAGAGAGAGGCAAGGTGAGTAGATCAGAGAAACAAAATAGTTAACCCGTTGAGGGATATAGGGGTTGTAAAAGCTAATCCAGGTAATGGGATGAGAACTCTCCCCTTGGTTAGACTTTAACTTTTGTATTCTAATCACTGCTTTCTGTTTAGAAGCTCTGTTTCATTAGATGCTGAGAAACAACTGCAGGAAGTTAGCTTCTGCTTTTGAAAGCTTTTGTATTTCAGATTTAGTTAGTTTGTAAGGTGCTAATTTACCCTGACTTCTACCTGATTTCATAATAGCACGGATTTCACACAAGGCATTAAGAGAGGAGGCTGTCAATGTGTCCAAGAGAACATGCTCAGGAATCTAACGTATTGAGGATGACATGGTATTTCTTTTATCTCTGTTCCACGTTAATGGTTACACGGACAACTTGAAACCAACTTTGTCTAGATTCATGTCAAATATAGGCAATTAACAGACGTTCATTTCTACAGGGGGGAAATTTCTGAGAGATTTTTACCAATAGAAATCTTTTTTGGGAGAGGGAGCAAGGAGAGAGAGGAGCAGTGAGGAAAAGCCCCCAACTGACTTCTCACACCAGAGTCTTTGGAGTGAGAAGCAGGTAGGGGGGTTGTAGCACTGCTGCTTCCACTTGGCTCCTGGTGCCCAAGCAGAAGGAGTGGTGGAGGAGAATCCCCTACCTGTTTCTCACACAAGAGGCCCGGTGTATGAAGAGCCAGGGGGAGGAGCTGGTGGCTGAACCTCCCTTTCCCTCCCCTCCCATTCTGTGAGAGGGGCTAGAGCAGCTGCCCCTTTGCACCTAGTCTCCAGGAAGAGTTAAAATGGGGGAAAGTGTACAAAAGTTCATTCCCCATTGGGAGAAGCTCTCCCAGGCCAGCTTCCACCTGGTACAAATCAGCTTATTTTTCTCCTGGAACCACTATTTTCAGTCCAAAAGAAAGAGCTTGAATGTTTGTATGTTTTGGTGTCTACCAGGAGAACAGAAATTCTCCCAGTAGAAATGGAATGTCTGTACAGGGCCTTAAATGTATGCCACTTAACTGTTAAAATTCTTGGGTAGGCCAGCCTTCTATCTTTTTTCCAAATTCTGAAACCCGTAACAGGATTAGAAAAAATGTGGTACAGTTTGAAGTGTTGGCTAGTAAGTACCTTGCCCAAAAGAGCAGGTGAAGTTTTTATGGTTAGCATGTGCATCTAATGGCAGTTTTGTGATCAGTATTATGAAGGTACAAATATGCTCTTGAAGGATTTAAATAGCAGTTTATATTTAATATACTCTAATATTCTTTGCAGATCCACTGGTGAGACAGCAGTCACCACGTTTGATATTGACAAGATGTACACCCCTTTGTTCTTTGCACGAGTAAAGAGTTTCACTGCATTCTCAGAAAAGCCTCTCTAAAACGCATCTCCTCCTGCTACTCTTGCATGAATAAGAAGTTGTAGCAAATGAGCACTTAAGTTATCAATGTGTATATATGAAATTAATTTTAAAATTCTGGGAATCTTTGGAAGATATATACTGGTATTACATTCTGTTTGATTATGGGTGGCTGGGTTCTTTTATTGTTTTGGAATTAAGCTTTTTGAATTCTTTTAAATTTGTTTATGTGGTGAAAAGACTTTGTTATTAAAGTTTTTTTATTATGTCTATTTTTTTGCAAACCAGTTTATAAACCATTTTCTCTAAAAACATTGAATCTCCATTTACGTTTGCACCTGTGCACTTCACCCATCTTTAACTTCAGGAAGAATTGTAATGGAAAGTCTCACTGTACATGTGACAGTGAGTGTACATGCTCTGGTCAAGGCTCAAAATGGGGAAGGAAAAAATTGTCCTACATTTGTTTAAAAGTGTGTGAGACCTATAAGGACTTTAAAATAAATGTTTCCTTTTAAATAAATGTATTTTGTTTGCCTTTTAAGAAGTGACATTAGGTGTAAACATCAGCCTTGTGAATAACAAATCAAGGCAAGCAAACCAGAAGCAGTGTAAAGTATAGGTGGAAAGTTCAACCAAACCACTGTGAGGGCTGCACTATAAATATCGTCTTGACACTAGTTCACTAGAGCCTACTGAGAGGATGATGGAGGTGGGCATCAGGAGGCAGCCACCCACAGCTGGTTTTTCTCTTCTCCATAATCTGGGGAAGGACATATGAAGAATGCATGGCTCTATGGAGGTGGTGTCACTGTGCAGAGGTGATTAGTGCAACACTGAATTGTGCAGAACTTGACTATACATTGTTCTGATTTATTGTGCAAATAGGAACAGGGCTCACTCAACAATGTTTGTCTTTTGTTAAAAATCCTTCACTTTACCTTGCTGCAGATGCTGTAAATCCATTGGGCATTTGTCATACTCCCTAAATTTAACTTTTAGGGCTGCTACAGATGTTTCAGGTACTTTGTGCTGCTTATGATAATATGTACCCTGAGGTCTGGTGCAGGTCCTGGATGTTGCTTCTCCTGCGTTAAGAGCTTGGGGGTTTGGTGCAGATGATACTGTTATGCCGCTTATTATAGATGTACCTTGGGTTCAAAAACAACTAAAGCGTCTACATGTTTTTGATATACTGGATTTGTGTAAGATTTGTTTTTCCCTTGAAGCCATTTCTTATAATTTACTTTTGAACAACTCATGTCAAAATAATGGCCTTGAATTCAGGATTCAAATACAGAAAAACTGTCGGAAGAATTTGTTCCATAATTTAAGGTGTACCTTTGCAAGAAGCTAATTGGTTAAAATGCATAAATAAACTTAACATTTTGACCACAGAATGCATTGCTATTTCTTAGTATGCCAAGCAGTTTCATTAATAGCTCTTATTTTTCACATGGTAAAATGTGTTCTTTACTTAATGAGAATACACAAAACGTTGCATTTAAAAGGCCTTGTGGTGGCAACCTGACTGATAAGAGGAAAATAAAAATATATCGCATGTGCAAAACATTAGTTTTCAAGATAATGAATGAAAGATCAGATCACTATATATATGAAGGAGTTGCTACGCAATTACCCTCTTTGGCTTAGGATTTTAAAGTAAGGGTAGGACTCAGATTAACTTTGGCTAGCACACAAGTGCTACCACATGTAGAGGAAATATAGAACAGGAAAGATATGCCACCTTTTTGTTCAGATTCAGTGGTTCTTGATTTTGTTGAATAGTAGCACTACTCATTGTATAGTAACACTTGAGTAACACTACACAATACGTAACACATGAGTAACACTATTTGTTGCACATCATTGTAAGTTTTGAGATTTTTGATTTGTACAACAAAAGCCGCCTTACAGTTTTGAAGTGTTTAAGGGTGTCCTTACACATTACAGCTTGCAGGTGGTATTGAAATTAGCATGTGCTATGAGCAGTTGCACATTAAAGCCTAATACCCCTCTAAGGTACACAGCTCTGAGTTGTTGCTAGAGGGCTGGCAGTCAGGAGTGCTCCTAGAAGCTGCCAAGTCTTCCCTATAGCTGCACAGCTCCCTGGTTTTTCAGCTGCTCCTGCTTATCCGTTCCCCTCCTCCCCACACCCCCACAGCTCCCCACTGTTCCTCAGATGTCTGGCTCTCCCTGTCAGATGAGAGCAGTGAAGATCTGGATGACAGATTGTCCACATGGGAGAGGGGCACCTGGGAACAGTGTATTGTGGTATTAGCCCCATGGAACAGATGTTGCTGTACCATGAGCTGCCTAAACTAGTTGGAAATAATCCTTGCCTATAGAGGTGTAACTTTGAGACATGTAGCGGGTATGCAGCTAATATTTTTTTCTTCCTTAACAGGTGGACATGCTCATCTTTAGAGCATTTAACATATGGGACATTTAACTTCTAACAGCACCCTAAGACATTACATGATGGTGGCCTGCTGCTTCTGGCCTATGTATATCTGGGGAAAACAAGATGTGCACATGCACTGCTGCATGTTAACAGCTAGATTTCAGAAATCACTGGTGCAACTTCACAGCAGAAATGCTGTCTTTTCCATATCAAGAAAACCCTGCAACCCTTCTCCTCCCACTGGGAAATGATCAGTATACTCTTCGCCCACAGGGGAAGGCCAAGCCAGTTTGCATTTCAAAATGTTTTATCAGCATTGAAGGCTACCATTAAAAGTGCATTTGAATCCAGCAAAAAGACTGATTCTTTGCTCCTATATTTCTATTCTTCCTTTATTTCTTTTATAGTATAACTATAGTTAAGGATTTTTAATGTCCCATTGCCATATTAGTTAGAGCTATAGTATCAGCAGTACAGACAAGGGCATGGACATGCCCGTTAGGTGAGTGCCCTTTCAGGAGAAGATGTGCCAAATAGCATAGGTAGAAACATGGTGTTGCATTTATTTGCAAATACATCTTTGCTCAATTAAACACTCCTGGTTTCAGTATCTGAAAGCAAATCTATGCTTCATGTTATGCACAGAGAGGCCTGAGAACCTGGATTTTTATAGTGCCTGGAAGCCTTTCCTGAATGCTTGAGCAGACAAGCCTAGAAGCTTTTCCTTAATACTTGAGCAGCGTAGCGAAAGACTTGATTCTTGACAGGTTGTCCTGGTTTAGGAACGTTTCCCAACTTATTTTAGTTCATCTGTTGAGTCTAATTGGTTCAAAATGCATTATGGCCCCTGTCACTGACCAATCTAATAGATTAATCTATTCCCTGAAGCAGTTACCCCATTTTGTTAAACCCAGCATTCTTCTCATCCTTTACATAGCAGAGACAATGTTTTATATAATACATTGTGCTAATGACCCAGCCTTGGGCATATGTAAATTCTCAGCACTACTGCTGACTACTGACTTTGGAACCTGGACCCAAGCTACTCACAGTGGGATTGTTAGAGTTTCTCAGAGAAATAATAAGTAAATCCTACTTAAATTAGTTTTAAAAACCCCAAAACTCATTCCCTGGCTAGCTAATGCACACATTCCCCTGGAGTTTTATGCAAGTAAAACTTTCAGAACAGTTTTTAAGTGCAAGAGAATGTTAAAATGCAGCTGACTAGATTAGTCTATTTTTATTGCTCAAGCTGGGAAAAAAATGATAAAAGGAAACGCAGCTAACCTAGTTTTCATTAGTTATTAAAATAAAAATAATTCCATTAAAATTAGTACCAGATGTAAGGGAATATCAGTTGCAATTCAATAGTGTAATGTCTGCTTAGAATAAAACTGGCTGCTTTTTTAAAAAAAAAAAAGTTGTACACAATTTTTATTAAGAAGTAGAGCATCTGGTGACTGATTTTTTTTTTTTTTTTAAATCAATTCAAAATTGCTAGTGTTGAAGAATGACATTTCTGGTGCCTTGGCTGCCAGGAAACCCCCCCCC